GGGTGGGCCATGGAAAACGATACAGACGGGTTTTCGTGTAGTTTAGATAGACTTTTTAAAAAACATTCAGATACGTAAATTAAGTTTTCGAGGTGAATATCTTTTGCAATAAAACTCTTCTAAAAATCTCTTCATCCCTTCATGTTGTGGCTACGATTTCTCATCTTAAATGGCAAGTGATACCTCATTTGAAAGGTCTTCCTTCCGTGAATACTACATAAATTTTCAAATTCTACCGATTCGTTTTAAAGATATTCAAAATGCAAAGGTAATTCAGAAAAAGATAACTTATTTTCATAACATTTCTGATGGATTGTTAGAAACATGTATTCCAAACAAAAAATGTTCCATGAAAGACAATTTTTCGCAGTTTTTTTGAGCTGTTATCAAACTAAAATTATTTCTGGTAAAAGCAATAATCTTGTCAACAAACACAATTATAGTGTCAGCTAGTTCGGAATTTTGTTTTTCAATAATGGTGTATAGAATTGCAGAAAGGGTTAAAATAACGACCCTTTTATATAAAATAATGAGTGCGGCAACCGTACAGCAAATTCATTCAATGAACAACATCCGGATAAAGTATGAATAGAAAATACATTCTGGAGTTTGTAGAAAATTTCCGAGAAACTGGATCAGTGGTAACAAGGAACGGGACTCTAAAACGTGAACTTCCGGTGAAGAATAAAGCTGTTGAGGTTAGAGGTGTTTCAAAACCTTATGAGCGTGAAAGCTCAAAAGATGGACTATTACAGTGAAAATGAATAGACTACCATGTTCCATACATACCAGGGACGGAATCTGTTTTTAGGATGTGGTAACAGCCATGCCTGATATGTAAAGGTCGAGGCTCATAAGACTTTGAAACACCTCTCTTCTTCGTATTGACCCAACTTTGAGCACAAGGAAGTTGGCTACTGTTACTAACGTCGGTAGAACGATTTTTCGCCGAATCCTGAAACATTATAAATTTCATCCTTACAAAATTTCTTTAATACACGAATTCAATAAGGATGACTTTGGTTAGCGATAGGAGTTTTGCGGAATTATGATTGCACGAATAGCTGTTGATAGGAATTTTCTTTTTAACATCTGTTTTTCTGATTTCTTTCTACTTTAACTCTGTAAATTGTCACAACTGTCGCAATTGTCGCAACCAACGGCGGTTCGTGGGTCAAGAGATAGGGAGGTCAATTAGAAAAGTTTACTGTATTACCTACTTTTAAAGTGATTTAAATTCCAAGTCGATCCTCCGGTCTTTTTTGAGATGCAAAGTGGTCAATTACTTTTTTCATTAAAGTCTTTTATAATCTTTATTAATGCCCTTTCTATGGTAAGCATAGCTAAAGAAGATAACCTTTCCTGACCCATGGTATTTCTTAAAAATGTCTTTATTCCTTTTAATGTGGAAAAACAGCGTTCACTTTCGACGGTATTCATAGGGAGAGTACACAAGATTTTTAACAGTTTGACACTTTCAGAAAAAGTATTGCACAAATTATTGTTAATAAAAGCTGTAACAAAGCAATTGCACCTCCATTCTTGGAAAAATCTTCTCAGCTATATAATACTTCTAATTCAGTTTAAATTTTCAAATGATTTATGACGGAATACTCCGTTTTAACTAATTTAAACATATCTTGAGGAAAGCTTTTTTACAATCTTTAAATCGATCTGCGTGAAATAACTGAGACACTGCTAAATGATTACTGAAGCCAAACCTGTTTTAGATCTCAGATGTAATTATATCACAAACTTCTAATGAAATTCTCATTTTTGTAAGTAGTTTTTTAAACCAATAGCTTGGTTTAGAGTGTTGTTTTCTGATTCATTTTAAAATTCCATCGTGTTGGAGCCGCTTTAGGTAATCTCACCTTAACAACATTATCTAACATGGCTGTTCTTTTTGGCGATTTTTCAAAGAATGAAGAAAAGCTATGTAAATTAGCAAAAAAATTTTTATGCTTTTATCCTGACTTGATGCTTTTTGTAAAATTAAATTTAGTTAATGAGCGTAACAATGAATAAAATTTGCTGAAGGATAACTTTTTTTAATTAAAAATACCTGTTAACTTCTTTTTTTCTTATCAAGAGATGTTTGCTTTATCGTCATATTAGGTTTTGGACGGTCACCACCTTTGAATTTCACTCGGTCTTCATAACCCAACTTATGTCCATCTTTCAGTTTTAATATATTTTGTACAACACTCATATTTAATAGTAAACACCAATAACACTGTTTTACTTAATTTCACGACAAGTAGAGATTTACTAATAAAATGTTCACAAATAAAAACATTAAAAACAACGCGACAGAATTTACCGACCAACCCGTACCTAGTCAGCATTAAGACTGCTGACTGGCGACTGCCTACTAAAGTTCGTGCGTTACTGTTTCCGTAAAATGTCAGGGACATTGTCCCCCCTCAGTATTTTCTGTCTCTTTTGCTTTCTGACGATTCGCGCATAAGTCTATTTCACTTTAGTTCGTTGTAAATTTGGTCCGTAGCTAGCTTTGAAGACACGTTGTGGGATTGACCCAAGATTTTTAAATTCTATAAACGAATAATGTAATGAATATGAATGTAGAGGCTCGATGCTCGGAGGGGATACGAAATCCTACGATCTAGATATTTGAATAGTATTGTGCATAGAATGAACTAGAAACTTTAATATATTTTTTAAGAATATTAAAAATATATATATTATATATTTTTAAACTTCAGAAAATGAATAGCTCTATTTTTTTATTTGTATGTGGGAGATCATTGACCAAATGACCCTATAGAAGAACCGCCAGTGGTCGCAACAGTCTTTCATGTAGTCCACACTAAAAATTGAATATCTGAGCCAGTATTTTTGGAAACTCTCTGGTTGGATCTATTTTCTTGAGGGTAATATAACAGGTGAAAAATATTTTGAATTACTGGAAGATCTTGTCCATCTATTACTAGTTGATATTAAAAATGATGATCGTGAAGACCATTTGATGTTCCAACAAGACTGAGCTCTTCCGAGTTACGCACGAGCTGTTAAGGAGATTTTGGACAGGATCTTTCCTAGGCAATGGATTGGATAGGTGCTACGGAATGACCGAGCAGATCTCCAGCTTTAACTCCGTCGAATTTTACCTGTGGAGTCATTTGAAGAGCAAAATCTATTCAACAGAACAGAAGTCTATGTAACAGTTGCGATGTCGTATTGTTGAAGAATGCCGTCAAACAACCCCCCAAATTTTTGAAAATCTAAAGACTCTTTCGAATAAACTTGTATTATTGTATGGAAGCTGGTGGTGAAGAGTTTGAACATTTGACTTCTAATGTTTCACAGTTATACTATCTGAACTTTTTATTTGAATAAATAAGTAGTGCTTTTCCAACTTGAATTTTACATATATTTAAAACGAATCGATGGAATTTAAATTTTTATTGTGTTATATTCAGGGAGGAAGACCTTTGACATGAGGTATTACTTGCTCTATTGCGCCATTTAAAAATTCAGGGGTTGTGGTCACAGCGCAAAGGGATTTGCCGGTGAGTTTTATTGCAAAAGATGCCCTCTCGAAAATGAAGATGAAGTGTCTGGGTATTTTTTAAAAAATCAATTTGATCTATATATATATATATATATATATATATATATATATATATATATATATATATATATATATATATATATATATATATATATATATATATATGTATATATATATATATATATATATATATATATATATATATATATATATATATATATATATATATATATATATATATATATATATATATATATATATATATATATATATATATATATATATATATATATATATATATACATATATATATCGGTGTACTTCCGATAGATACACCGGCATTGTTGAGAAAGAAGTCATGTATAGAGCGATAGTACGCCTCTATCGCATATTTTGCGAAATTGGTCGTTTACCTCTCCTCAATCCTGTTTTTGTTTTTTTCATTAAAGCCTATTGCTACTATTTTTAATAAATTCTCACATCACAATTTAATTTGTTGATACGACCACAAAATGTGAAAAATATTCCACTTTAATATTAATAATTTCCAATTAAAGGGAATGTAGTAAAGAAAAAAATGCGTTATTAAATATTTATAAAAAGCTATGGCACTTGATTATGACGGATGATTTTAGAATTCAGCATTTCATGAATGAAGCAATATGGTTTGGTTTGAATACGGCACTAATGACTAATTATTATTCTGTTATTATACCTTTATTTGTTATTTGACTTTCCGTTCACCGTTTTGTTTAGTTGAACAAGAATCGTGCAATAATATACTTGCTTTGGCATCTATATATTTATTTTTGTTAAAAGCTCTTTATGCATTGACGATATTTCTCATGGAAGGTGCCTTAGAACTGTTCTCGGAAAAATTAACTTACGATCTGTATATTTAGTTTGGCTAACATTCTACGCCTTTGTAAATGTAAGTAAAGTACAAGTGGAGGTTATGAAGTATGCATAAACACAATAACTTGAATGTGATGCTATACAAAATTTCATAGTAAATATGCAAAACGTGAAAAAACAAGGTCAGAGGAATTTACCTTTTCTCTCTCCCCCGTGGGGAAAAAAAAGATTCACCAAAAAAAAAAAGTTACGTAAAGCACGAGAAAATACAACTTTACTTTTATTATTTACGAAGTAGCTGAAAACTAATTCTAAAATTTTTAATAATAAATGTTCATTAATAAATCCATTATCTAACCTAATTGCTAATTTGTAAAAAGTTTAAACGCTTTTAAATGAGTTACTAATGTTTTTGTTCTAAGGAAATAAGAATCTTCAAGATTAACTTTGCTTGCTTTGTGAATATTACATAGTAAATTCTGCATTAAATATCATTACCACATAAAGTGACCTGAAAAGTTAACCATATAAAGAAAATCGAAAATGTTAGTATTCAGAAACGTTAATAATTTTAAGCGTCCGTTAAGTCAATTTGGCTTAATAATGTGGCATCTTGATCGAGCGGTAACGACACTTGCCTCTCACCCTGGAGTCCCGGGTTCGAACCCCGGTCGAAGAGATAGGATTTTTTCTAAACCAGAAAATTAGATATTGGGTGTGCGTTCATTGTCTTTTAATTTGTAGCCCTCTTCCACACAAGGCATATTGAGGTACTTTCAGGGTTCTATTACTTGTAGTGTTTAATAATGTCTCTTTTGTAACTTTTTTCTTAGTATAGGATATTTCAGTTTAGACGTTTATCCATTATAAATAATGGATTATTCTCTATACCATTGGAGGTAATCCAGTTGTTCTAAATATTCTAAACATCATTGCTTTTAAGTGCTCTGTGGTGCAGAAACGCTGTACTGTGATGATCTTGCTCTATAATGTACCGGATATGTACCGGCAAAGAATGTGAACATAGGATCAACCTTAATGAACATGGTGATCCACAAGATTTAATGTGTAGTCGAGGATTTAAAAAATAATATTGACAATTTTTATAAGGATAAATCGCAAGTTACCGAAGATGGCAATAAAAGTTAAGAAGATGTACTAATTTTTTGAAAATTGCGTGTTTTCTTTTAACAAATTTGTAAATTAACTAAAGTTTAGTTACTCAATTGGACATAAAATTACACCTTTAGAAAATTATTGCAGGTAAACTTTTTTTTTATTATCTGTAGTAATATATTAAGTGCATTAAAAGTTATCAAAAATTTAGCGCATAAAAACGTGTTGCCTTGAAACTGCTAGAGTTCATTTTGATGTTATTTGACAAAAAGTGCCCGAGACGCAGTCGAGGGTACTTTTTCAGTCAAATCACATCAAAATGAACGAATACGGTTTCTTAAACATTTATTAGACTATTTCCAGAAAAGTTTATATTTTTTATAACTTAATTAAAAATTCAAATTATTACATTAACGGCTGGGTATACTTTTATTCCCGTGTCGCAATTTTTAAGCGGATTTATTTAAAAATCGAAATTTAAAATTATCATTTTTTTATAGGAAAACCCAAAATATTGAAATAGTAGGTAATTAACTATGTTCCTTTTGATTCTATAAGCCCTACTATCTTCACAGGAAAATAAAAAGGAAAAAAATCTTCAATTTTTATATTGATTCAACTGACGTTTTAAGCTGTGAAGCCCAGTGCAATTTTCGCTGTAATTTTATGTAAAATTTTCACTTGGAATGCAATTTTCGCTGAAAGTTTGTTCTTATTGGTCAACATTTTCAAAATCTTACTTTTTCATTCATTTTTTGTCTATTTCTACTAGTCTGACGGTTCTCATTGAAATGATGATATAATTAAAAAATATGTTTCTTTGTACAACTATAAAAGGCACGTAAAATCTACTGGTAGGAATTTTTCTCGTTAAAATATTTACGCATTCAGCGAAATCTTTAACGGGGAAAACTATTAATGAATTTTCAACTTTATTTCATTAGACGCACGCAAGGAAGTTGAGAGAATCAGTCACCCTTTTCGAGCTATTTATAGTTTACTAGAAATAAATTCTTTATTAATTAAAAAATGATGAGTTGCAACATCCAATTTGAATTTTTTTCTTTCTGACTTTTAAAAGTTAAAACCATTTATAAAAATGGGGGCTCTTAATACGAAACAATTTTAAGGTGGTGTATTTTGGCCCCTTATGTACAACTTTTGGAAGTAAAATACGAAAGTCGACTTATTTAGGTCAGAACATTCCTTATAAAAATAAATAACGTTAATAAATATTCATATTTTTTATTTGTACATAGTACGACTGCTAAGAATGTATTAATATCCACAAATATATAATTACCATCATCTCATTTTCAAGGTAAATAGAAGATACTGGATTTTCAAAATGGTATTACATCATAAAATTTGGAATATCTTGAAGCCATTTCTAAAAATTGCACCCTTTTGACTTGTTCAAATATCTTGAGTGAATATTATTACTTTTGACCCAGGTATGAGAACAAATAGAAATAAATGATATACGACACTGTTTTATATAAAAAACAAAAACCTTCGTTGTTCATTAAAATTTAATGTCTTCAATGTTAAACTATAGCTATTTTCTTCAGATTTGAAGAGGCTGATAGATTTACTTTCTTTCACACACAGGGCTGTGTGGAAAATAGTGTGCAAAGAATTATTATCGGTGTTGACAGAGATGCTTTGAGACTTTTCTCAAAGCAGTATGCTTAAGAAGCTATGGGTGCTGTTTGGAATAGGGAAAATAGAGGGATATATTCCTGGTCATTCTATTGCATACCTATGCCTGGAAAAGAGAAAGCAACTACGTTGAGACGTTTTCATAGCGTTAGGGAAGGAAGTTGTGGAAGAAACATAATAAGGAAACCAGTGCTTCCTTCCGCATATCTCATCTACCATCTACAAACAACGCATTCAAACAGCCCAACGGAGAGCTTCGTATTAAGCTCTAGCGATTCCGGTACATAATTTTGGAGTAAAAAAAGGAAGACAAGTTGTAAAGCCTGCCCTTAGCGATGGCTTTCATAGAACTTTTGCAAATATTTAACATCGTCTACTGGAAACAGATACTTTTGCTAGAAATTGAGTAATTTTAGGAAGACAAGTAGTCCTTTTTAGAACACATTAAGTAGAAGAAAATGTTCTGAATGAAGAACATTCTGAAACAAATACATGAAAAATTGCTGTTGAATTGATGCCAGTCAAAAGACCGTTTGGACCATAAAGAACAGCAATAATTGTACCGTTATAATATAAGAAAGTGATACTCCTACCACGCGATCTTCTTCCACAATTTGGTTTATTTATATTAACGGCTAATTGTTAGCTAATATTCCGTAGATCCTATATATCTGTGTTTCTATTGACATGCAAGACCAACTTTTCGAAATTCAATAATTTTCATAACAGTAATATGTGGATCGAGAACCAATATAAAATAGTATAGAACAATTTTCAATATCACTTTTCGATGAACATATGGGCTGTAATTGTTGGTATTTTCTTATTGGCCTTATTTTTGACCTATATGACTAACTGACGAATCATATGAAATTTTTCTGGAAGAGAAATTGCCTGGTATATTGAGAGATCGGCCAATAATAAGTACAGCTATATTTTATACGCGTGAAGAGGCCTCAGCACACGTTAGCCTCTTTTAAGGTCTAGGCGTGGCATATTATGGTTGTTAGACATGCTGTTCGAGAGGAGCCACAGTTGTGGCCTTGTCGATCACAGGATCTTAATCTCTCAGGATTGAGAATTGAAAATCATTAGTTTATACAAGCCCATTGAAAAATGCAGAAGATCTACGAAACCAGATTATTACTGCTTGTGCATACAAAATATTCCTAATGTTTTTTAATGTGTTCGCCTCTCTATGTGGAAAGGAATGGATTCATGTGTCATAGCTGACGGAGGTAGTTTCCAACAGTTTCTGTAGATATTCCTTTTTTAAGTTGTTGATTCAAAGAAAAAAAACATTTGCAGTCTATACTTCTTATCCTTTTTTCTCGTAAAATTTGATGCATTTTCTTTAGATAATTCGTTATAATGCCACGTTAAATACTGTTTGATAAGTAGTTAATGTATATCAAAAATAGTTGTGGCTATAAATTTGAGCCTTGATGGACACAACTTTTATATTGTGATTATTAGATTAAAAATTATTCTAATACCATTAACTTTCGATTTTTCACGAAATAATTAATACAACTTAGACGGCATCCTCGTTTGCCAATATTTTCTTATTTATGCAAAAGTTATTTCCCTATCCATGGAATCAAAGCTTTTAACAGATCAGAGAAAAAGAGAGACAACATATTTGCCTTCCCCGAACTCTTTATAAATATATTTAAAGAAATATACGAATGTTGTTTCCCTTGGTGAAAACCCAAATTTAGAAAAAAGGTCCCCATCATGAAAACTGCGGCATAAATTTGTAGCTCAGTCCCCGAGCCAAAGTCAATGGTAATGCTATTCCAAATTTTTAATGATCAAAATAATTTGAACCCAAAAATCAGTAAGTGTACTGAATTTCATCGCAATATGTCCATGTAGAGAATATTCTGAAAGAAAAATTATTTCGTACGCAATGGTACATTTTTGGACATATGCTGATATGAAATTTTCTCATAAAATAACTCCAGGAATCACCTACAGATTATTGATGCGTACACTCTGTATAAGTGAAAATGGTGCTCAGTTTTTTGTCAATACTTGGATATTAACTATTAAAAAATTTAAAAAACGATAAATGGAGTCATTTTAAAGCGATTCATCGGTTAATTTAATTAACGATGCGTTCCTCAAAATAATACCCTTTTAATCATCGACTGTAATACTAATGAGCGATGTTGATGAAATGGATTTTAAAGAAATGTTTGCGACACCGAAGTTCAGCATTAGTCACTCTTAATGTTGCGACACAATGCAATTATACCAGCCGTCTGTGCATTGTACTCGGTTATGACGTCACATTAGAGGGTCATTTTAAATATTTAATTCAATTGAGATTAATATAGAGTGCTTATTACGCTTGTTAGCCACTGCCGGGGAATGGGAATTTCATCCAAAACAACAGGCTTTTGAATTAGGTCGACGAAGAATTTGCATGACTGCTACTTTATTAAGGTATTACTGTCCCAATTGTGGTGTCTGAAATTACTGTCATTTTATTTTTAGACTAGCGATAAATTATGATATGCTAAAAGCTGTTTTATGCAGTGAGTCCATAATGTAATGTACAAATTCGACAAAATAGTTACAATGCTAAAGACCATTCTGCAGTCCTAACTAAAGGTAGACTTCTGTGTTGTTAAGTTGGCAATACTTTTTAGGTTAAGTAACGTCATTAACGGCATGATATAAAAAACAGGACTGGTACTGAGAGCAGTTTGTAATTTAAAAAAGCATGATACACACAACGGTATGTTGATGAGCATGTATGACGTCACAGTGAAACAAAGCTCCGAGTTCCCAATATAAGTTACGCTATGAGCTCAAACATGTTCAGGATTGCGCATGAAATGACAGCGAAGTAAAAGTCCCGTGAATGTATGAAGTACGTTACTATTTATTGGGTTA